CGATCAGATATCTCATCCTCACCAGGCGCCAGGGATTGCGCTGCCGCTCGATCGAGTTCGTCGCCACTGGTGTTATCTTCGCCATCTAGCGGTGTCCTGGAATCCTTGGATTTGGTGCGGCCTACTCGCGCACCATCTAGTCCCGTGCTTGATCTTTTCGATTTCAACAAAGTACTCAAAGAACTTCGACGTTTCTTTTTCATTTCTTCTGTGGATTGCATGCTCTTTCGCGGCGAGCCATTTTGGCCATATACTTCCTTGCCCAGATGACCAGCAATGGGATGGTCCGTGAATGCACTGACCGGAGCATAGGCAGCAGCATCCAGGATACTGTCAAGAGTACGAACTGCCGAACCATTCTTTAACTCGAGATCTTGTGTGACACTTGGTTGCTCAAAAAAGGCGTTGGCGCGTAGTTGTGGTGGGAGATTCAGTGAGCTCCTACCACCGGGCACTTTCGTGTTATCTTGATCAGCTAGCCAGGGTGCTGACTTGCGCAGTTCTTCAGGTATCGCAGATATACCCTGAAGTCGCCGTCTTTCACGTTCGCTTAGATCCATCTTGGACAGTCTTTGTGGAAGATTCAGCATAACAGGGACAGGAGCCGGATAGTATATCATGCGCTCGCCCGGTTGCGCTTCTCTGAAAGCCTTGGAATCACGCGCCAATGGAGGCCGGCGCAAGGAGATATGCCGCGATATAGAATCACTTCTCTGGGACAACGCGCCGGAATTGAAGTAGACACCATCAAAATCGTTGAAAGCCGCTTGAGCCTGTCGGTAGGTATCATTTGAACCAGATGTTGGCGGTCTGTCTTCTGAAAACGAGTTGTTCGAGGCGCCAGGTGACTGAACAATCTCTTGATCCGGAATGATGGCAGCATCAGAGGGATGAGACGTAGACCCAAAGTCCAGTGGACGACCTTCACGGGGAGGCTCCGTCAATGGTTGATCATGACGACTGCCCTTGGACGAGTGGCGGTCGAGAGTGTGCTGCTGTTGCCGTCGTCCCGAGTGTATCGAGCCTGTTGGAGAGGTGATGTACCCGGACGGTGAATATCCTCCTGACCTGGCCGTCTGATTGACTCTGAGGATGGAATTTGACCATGAACTGGTCGAGAACTGCCTCTGGGCTGTAGAAGCGCCACCGTTTTCAAAGGTTGTGGGTGCAGACGACTGTCTTTCCAAACGTCTTTGGTCCAGTTTCATCTTGGTCAACTCTTCTTCTAGACTCGAAGTCATGCTCAGTCTCTCAGCGCTCTCTTCCAATTTCTCCACATTCTTGACAAACGCCCCTTGCAGAGTTTGTAGATCCGGTGTCGGGTGGTTGAGAGGGAGGTCTCGGCTGATGGACGCGGTCCTAATCGGAGCTTGTTCGGACTCATACGTGAGGGTGTCGTCTTCTACCGGCGCGTGTGCGGTCATGTTCAACCCTAAGCCCTGTGGTGTCCGCATGGGCTCCTCGTAGTCGTCGTCTTCCACCATCTCATACGACTGTGATGAGCTCAAAGACTTGAGGAGATTTCCAACGCTCGCGGCGCCGCTACCCTCCGCACTTGGTTGCGGAACATCCGAGTGGTACCCATCTCGAGACACATGATCGAAGGAGAGGGAAAGTGGAGGGCTGGATGTTTCGGGGCGTGTTCTGTCGGCATGCAGGGTTAGGTCCGGCGATTGAGTGTAGATGGCATCGTGCTCAGCCTGTGAGACAGCAGTGTAAGCCATTCTCTGAGGCCAGACGCGGCAACCGGCGGACAAATAAGAAGGCTATGCAGTCGGCAAATCGAAGGAACTGGCTACAGATGCGAGGGTCCAGAAACCCTGCGAGTCATCGTTGAGGGCTGATCTAAGTCGCACGCGGTCGACTCGCTGTGTGAAGGCGCGAATACGAAGCGAGGATGATTGAGGTGAGGTTCGAGGAGCAAAGTGAGAGGTGTTAGACGGCTCGAGAGATGGCAGGGAGGACGCAGCGAGCATATGGGAGATGTACAAGGAGAAGGCAAGACTGTATGTACAGTGAGTGATAAGTTGGTACTCCGTAGGGGACGCAAGAAAAGCGTGTTCCGTGTTTTGCGATAGTGAATGGACCTTGTGGGTGCACGAGACAAGAATGAACGGTTCAGGGCGCAGGCGCAGACAGTAGATAACAACTATCGCACCTAGAGTATCTACCTAATGTAGGTACCTAGGCAGAACTTAGCTAGTACGGTAGTTTAAGAAAAGCAATAGGTACCGTGCCATGCCGAGCAAATCCACTCATGGGCTTTGGCAATGGCATTCTCGGCCAAATTTAGGCATGAGTGCGAAAGGATTAGGTTAGCCAAGTCCCTAAACACTCCCTACAAGTATAACTACCCGTAGACTCCGTGATTACCTACAGTACTAAACTTAAGGCGTTCTTGTTTAGAATCCCACGCCAATAATTGCTCCATCAGCCTCCAGATTGCGCCGCGGCCACTCAGATGCGGCTTCTTTACTTGATACATAACGGCTCGTCGATGAAAATCCACTACATCGAGGTTTCATGGGGCCGAAAGCCCTGCTAGCTTCATCGCGATAAATCGATCCTCCGGAGAAATTGTAGAGATAAGAGACGGTCAACGATAACTCGTACACAACAATGTTGGCGATTCTTGAGCTGACCAACTCCCGAGTCCTCTGTGAACACCCTCTCCATCTTCCTTGTCTGACATTCAATAGTCTGTGTGGCACCGACAAATGCAACACAAGAAACACTAAAGCTCTTCTTGAGGTTCAATGACGAGATCTCATCTTATTAGACCAAAGTACTTTGTACGAGACCATTGACGGCAACGACGGGATATTCCCCAGGCACACCAATCACTTCTCCTAAGCATCCCGTCCACTCCACCCTCAACTTCCAAACAACTGTGTCATCGTATCCCACAGAATCTTGCCGAGGGGAAACACAAGGTGCTTCTAGATCGAGCAGACGATTATTCCGAGCCTCACAACAGCCCACGGTCAAGTATGGGGAGTGTTCGCCAACCTGGCGCAGTTTCGAAATCAGCTCATTGTTGGATATTCTATCATGCTTGTTTGCGGAGCACAAGGAAGAGATGCGTGGCGTTAGGGCCACTGTGTCACAAAGGCTCAAGTAAGACTGAGGTGGAAGCGAGGTCAATATATGTTGATTCAAAGATGAAGAGGTCAGGGAAAGAAACACTGCAGGCCGTAGTGCTTCGAACCCTCTTGGCTGTCTTATGTGTCCTTCGTGAAATCAGCGTATTCTCAGGTGTCCTGGTTGCTCCGTGCTCTGAAGGTGTTTTCTCTCTCTTGGAAAGTCTTGGCAATTTATTGAACTTTTAGGATTTATCAATTCACTGACTCAATCTCCGTGCTTTTTGCAGTAACAGACTACTCTAGACTCTTCAATACGTGTGTCCCAGACGACGCAACACCGGTATACCCACTGAAAGGGCCAGACTCTTGCAATATGATCGGCAGCTCATCCTCCCGAAGTGACCGCAAAACGCCCTTCTCTCTGGGCTGCCATCCCATTTTCCGCAGTCTTTCGCCGCGGCTTCTGGAGTTTGCCCCGACCGTCGTTGGGCTGTACGGCCCGAAGAGGTCGTCGAACAGCTCGGGAGGGACGGGTCTCGGTTCTGGATCTTGAATCCTACCTGCCTTGAACAACTCCCTGCCAATCTCCCTGGCAGCATCTCCCCATGCCATTTCCTCGCCACTGTCACAAAAGAAATAAGGGTTCTTGAGGACCTCCTCGGCACTGCTGGTCTCCATCCAGTGTAGAATGACCATGTACGCCCTTACCAGGTCCTGCACGTGGATCGTGCATCGCACTGAAAGTCCTTTGCCAATGACGGGAGCCCATCCGTGCTTCAAGGCGAACCTGGCCATGGTCGGAAGCTGGATCGTGAGCCGTTTGATTCGTTTGCCGACGCCATACACCAGCGGAGGAAGAATGATGATGATCTTGGCCTTCGTCCCGAGCTCCTTCCGCGCTTTCAGGATGGCCAAGTCGATCTGGCGATGAGGAGCAGAGTCTGGAACCGTGTCGACCTCCTCGGGACGCTCGTCGGAGTAAATCTTGTCCGACTTGTACATTCCCTTGGAATTGTCGACCAACTCGCTCGTACCGCTGGTGTGGATGAAGATGGTCTGTAGTCCTTTTTCGGCACGCTCTCGGACGCCTTCAATCACCGCCTCGACTGAAGGAAGATGGTCTGCCGTTGCAGCATGGATGACTATCGGGCTTGCAATCGTATGCTGTCGGATAATGTCCTTGTCATCCAATGTGCCCATGATCACCTTTGCGCCCAATTCCCGGATTTGTGCGGCATGCTCTTCCCGGCGCACCATCGTGGTGACATGATATCCATCCTCCAGAAGGAGTTCTAACAGGTCCGCACCTATCAGGCCGGGGCCAATGAGGAATACTTCCTTCTCAACTGACATAGCGTCTCGACTTGGATAGAGTCCGGGGTGTCCTTGCTCATAGAATTTGGAACACCATCGATAGCCAGTGAAGATGCGAACACCAACCCTTTTATACAGTATCCGTTGATAAGTCGGACATCGACTTCATCGTGTTTGAACTCCCCGCATTCGGGACCATTTGCGTGCGTCCGGTAGTTTCGGCTTCACCGGTTGTATCCAGGTCTCGATAGCCGAGTGCGGAGAGTACGCGCCAGCACGGTTGACCAGCGCACGTAATGGCAACGAACTTCATGGGCCTTCGATGAACGGCAGCAACTTTGGATGGTGAGTCATAGTCCCCGTTGCCGGAGCGTGTAGATCTCGATAACTCCGTCTTGTAAAGAGAGCCCATGTCTAGAAGGGTATGGATGACTGACTGCCGGCCCGAGACAACGGGTATCAGCTACTGAAGAGATGGTATATGGAAATCACATCTGAGGGAAAGAAGGAGCTATTTCACTCATGGACTAGTCACGAGGACATACGCAATATAGTCTCGTAAACAAGAACCCAAGAAAAAAAAAGGGGGAATAAAAAAGAAATCGACACCAACGAGATTCGAACTCGCGCTCCCGAAGGAAATGCCTTAGCAGGGCATCGCCTTAACCACTCGGCCATAGTGTCCGAAACAGGCAGATATTTGCTTGTAATTTGGGGTAAAAATTGGCAGTCTCAATCTATATACTTTTTTTACCTCGGCTACCCGTTGTCCGAAGTTTTACCTTCGTAGTCCTGTGGCTTGGCAAAGACAACCCTAACGACCCCTCAGGCAATAGGGCCGTCTCTGTCGCTGTGTTCTCACAGGAGAAATTGTACCTAGGTAAAGAGTCGTAGGGGTAGACATACCCTCAGTCTTGCCCAGCCTTGCTAGAAATGTCGACTTTTTACACAACATTCCTGACTTTAATCGAAATCGCGGGCTCAGCAGTCCATGCCCAGGACCCATTTCAAGGGGTCTTCACTCCCACAAGTTTGTGCAATTCTTCGGGGTGAAAATCGTCAGGGCAGACCATTCAGAGACGAACAACGAGCCTTGAAAGCCTCCAGCACCTGTCTAGATTATCGCTTTCACATCCTGAAAGAAAACATGTCTTAAGAGTCACTTGATTAGTTTCAACACAGTGACCCTAACGGCACGCATCTCTGCCTCGTACTCCCAGTTGTACTGTCTGACGGTAGGCAAATGACCGTCCAGGTGCCAGTCACGCGATGCGTCGTATATCAAGACACTGTCTGTAAAGATAATTCATGGTTTGGACTTTACAAGAGTCCAACGTTATTCACGGTGGTAAGCTGTCTGCATTTCTGTTCTCTATGGCAGTCTCGTCCGGATTCGTAAACTTCACTTTAGGTCACCATTGAAGGATTTCATTGATGAATGTTTCAGTGCGGGAGTGTAGCTGTCCTCAGGCGTTGGATGAACTGTGAAATACCCAAGACCAAGAAATGATCCCACCTTGGTTGTCCTGCAGTATCCTCTGGACGGGTTCGACTTCTCAAGATCAGCAAAATCCCCTCGCCGGCACCCGCATTGCGACCGTCCATTATGTCTGCAGCAAAAGCAACTCCTGTGCTCGACTCTGCAGATGCCATCTACCGATTCCTTCGTGGATCTGCGGCAGCCTCTGCCTGGACACCTTCTCCCACCATCAAAGGAGTAACGCCAGTCAAGGGAGGTTCGACGAACCACACATTCAGGCTACATTTTCACAAGCCACTTGAATCGACTGGTCTCGCTGGAGACTCCTTTCCCCCTACAAGCGCCATTTTCAAGTACTTCCCTGACAACATTCTTCTGACCCCGGAAATCAGCTTCAGTAGCGGGCGCCAGGCCTTCGAAGCTCGCGCTCTGACTGATCTCGCCAAGCATCTAGACTCTGCACCACGAAAGGGCGTTCAGGTCAGCCTACCCAAGTTACTGCACGCAGATTTGGATGAACATTTCATCATCGTCGAGGATCTAAGCCCAGAATGCGACCTTGGCCATCTGAATCCCAGGGCTTCAATCAACTGCGCACAGTTTGTTGGCCAGGTGGGCACAGATCCGTCCAAGACTCGGGCCGCCCGTCAATGTTGCTCGAGCTCTGGGGACCTGGCTTTTCAACTTACACTCCCTTGGCCGGGAAATGCGACTGGAGCTCCCAAGACAACGTTCCTAGCTCCGCAACTTCGGGTTTGAACGCATAGTCGCCGATGATGCCGGTGCCACCGCCCGAGGCACCTGCGAAGAGGTTAGACTCAGAGTCGAGAATGGCGATGTGTGGAAGATGATTCGACTCCGTCAACTGATCTCGGGCCATGTAGTAGGCGGTCGAAAGTCCAATGATTCCTCCTCCGAGAATGACAGTCGTGTTATGATCTTGTGGCAATGGGATCATTGGCGCCATTGGGTCCGTCTGAGATATGTGACCCAGCGGGAAGCCGGGCGAGAGGAATGACAACAGCCAAGACGTGTCCGCAGGAGTTGTGCTTCTTGTGAACTGCAAGTTAACTGGAAAATGCAATTTCGCAACCGTCTAGTGAAGGAGGTGGCTCAGATCATATAGATATACTCCGTGAGCGATCTCAAAACTTTCGCTCCTGCGCCTGATCACGCCGTCGGGCGCATCACCTTGTTGAGCGGCTGGAATTGTGTGCCCTCTAGGCCGGTCAGGATGGTTGGGTCGCTATCTTGACGGCCCCGCCCTGCTATGATTTGCAATCTCGTCATACGCATTCACTCCATCCTTGAACTATGCTTTGAACCTCTGCAGCTAAGACAAAACGTTATACAAAATGTAGTCTAAAAAATCTGTTCTGAAGTAGAGTAGGTGGTCCAGCCATCATCCGAATCAAGGAGGCGGGACTAGCCGTGCCCGGAACTTCGGTTAAGTGCAAGGCTGAAGTTTGTTTTAAGGGCCCCCAGGCCAAAGAGGAGGCAATGGCTCCGGGGATTGTGGCTGCAAGTTACAGGCAAGCTTTTTTACTTGCCACCTTATTTATACCCACTATTGGACCTATTTAACTTGAACTTTTGGGGCCTATTGTACGGAGTAGTAGCCTACATAGTGAGCTGCATGTCAAACTGGCCTAAGGGGATCGCAAGAGACAAACAACGACGCCCCCGATGTCATGGGCGTCTTCTCCTGGATAAGTGACAATCAGATGCACCGGGTGATAATCAGGCGTCAGCCTTGAGACCCTTTTTTTCATCCTCATCGTGACCTTCTAGCCTGGGCATCGAGTTATCGATAGCCGAAATGTACTAGCCCAAGCCAAAGACATACGATCAGATTTCTTCAAATGTCCCAGCATATCCACACCTCGATTGAAGGTCGAGTCCCTGATGATATAGAACACGAAGACACTGCAAACGGAGGTGTCACAGACAGCGCACCACTACTGCACGATGTTCAGCCCAACGAAGACGAAACCCCGAAACCATGGAAATCTTCTTCGAGAAGCCGCATCCCCATGATTGTCTATCTCATCTTCCTCATGGTCTGCCTGGAGTTCGAGGAAAGCGTTCAGGCTGTACCCACAGTCCGCCTCTACGAGTCAGCAATCTGTCAACAATACTACAATGGCACAGTCGAGGAGAGCAGCTGCAAAACCAAGCCAATCCAACAGAACCTGGCCCAGATACGCAGGTGGCAAGGGCTATTCGATGCGCTCCCCAGTCAGTACAGGGTGAAAAACTGCTTTTGGTGTTGCGCACAATAACTGACACTTGCCACAGCCTTGCTTCTTTCTATTCCTTTTGGGTACATGTCTGATATAAAGGGCCGTCGACTTGTTTTATTCCTGAGCGAACTCGGCGAGATATGCTGCTTGGGCTGGATCCTGATGACTTGTAAGTTGTCTACCACGGTGCTTCCAGCGTCTGCTAACCACAAGTCGGTTTGAAGGTTTGCTCTGGGCTAAAATCCCCATCTATGTCGTCTGGATCAACTCTTTATTCAGGCTGATAGGCGGTGGGCCCTACGAGGCAATCGGGCTCATCGGAGCATTCTGCCTTTGCGGAAGATCCTGAAACAACACTGAAAGATAGGGTCACCTCCGTAATGCAGGCCTATCAACTCGTTCTGAAAGATCGGAGGACGCTGGCTGCACTTACCTGTGTATTTCTCGCACAGTTCAGATCGGTCGGCATCGACATCCTCTTGCCCTATGCTTCCTTCAAATTTGACTGGCCTCTCTCAAAGGTGTGAACATATCCCGATCCACCAAGCCATTGCAACTGACATAGGATCCTCCCGGACTGCAGTCCTCATAACTCTTATATACTGCGTCAACATCGTAGTATTTCTGATGATTCTTCCCTTTGGAACCATCGGCTTGAAACGTATTACTACGCTACCAACGACAGGTGTGGACCTACTCATTGCCAGATGCAGTTTAGGACTCCTTGCCAGCTGAGTTTTTGTCATTGGCATTGCGAATACAGTGGGCCTGATGTTCGTAGGTACGTTGTCGAGTCTTTTTTTCATTAATACTACAACCATGATCTAATCATTCTTTGATCATCCAGGCTTGTCAATCTTTGCCGCTGGGTTCGGAGCGAGCATATCCATGGTCTCTGTCATGATAGACTTCTTCAGAAAAGACTATCGTGCACGGGTCTACGCGCTTCTCTCCATCGTTGAAGAATTCACACGCCTGATCGGCACACCGTTGATCCAAACTGCGTGGGCAAGAGGGATTGAATGGGGCGGTGACCTTCTTGGACTTCCTTTCTGGATTCTGGCTGTGAGTTTCAAAGCCACCCACATATCACAGATTGATGGTCATTTGCTGACAAGTAACGGCCTACCTGTAGGCTTTATTTCTGATTGCTTGCCTAACTGCGATATTCATTCTAGATTCCAGGCGACTTGGGAGATCAACACTTCAAGACTCCAACTCTGATCACAGCAGAGCAATTTGAATGAGCGCGACAGATTCATGTTGGATGGCTATCGTGACAAAGTCGGTCAGAAGGAAGGATGATCTTTTGTTTCTAGAGAAGACTTCCCCCCTTTCCGCTCCTGTAAGAGATATCAAGTGAGGAAAAGGGCACAGCACGTTTCCGCAAGTTACGATGTCAGAGAGCACCAATAGTATGTTATCCAACTTGCAGCTTCCCTGAATGCGAAATCTCACCGGTTGGGCTGAACACATAACCGAATACGAGACCTGCCTAGACTGCAGGATCATAACGAACTATGTGCGTGGCAGTATACTAGTAGTGTAGTAGCACCATCTCGAAGGTTGGTATTGTGAATGATGAGGAAGACAGAAGGACCAAGTACTCGAGCAGCCCTTAGCGAGAGCTCCATGATCGCTTAGGGAGGGGGGAAGCAAAGCGGTTAGCGCCTAATCAGAATGGGATGACGGACAATCGGTTTTTCCGGTTCTTCTCACGTGACTACCTAAGTAGGTACGGCACAGCAGTTTGGGAAACATCAACCAACTCACCCATCTCTATATTGTTTCTTCCACATTGTCGCATATTTTCACCATGGTTTCTTCCTCGGCACGAGCATTGTTCTTCATGCGGCAATGCCGCAGGAGCCTACCACAGGCAAATCGTCGTCAGGCTCACGGTGCCTCGACTCGGAGTCCTCGTCGTCAATCGTCTCAATTCGCACCTTCGAATTTCACCA